GGCCAGCTCCAAACTGTTCCCACAAAGTTGGGAGCATGGAATTGTCCAAAATGTCTTGGTATGCTGAAGCATTCAGAGTTCCTTTCACTGGAACTAAGGGGCCAAGCCCAGCTCCTGAAAAACAACCCCACACCATAATCCCCCCTCCACCAAACTTTACACTTGGCACAATGCAGTCAGACAAGTACCGTTCTCCTGGCAACCGCCAAACCCAGACCCGTCCATCAGATTGCCAGATGGAGAAGCGCGATTCGTCACTCCAGAGAACGCGTCTCCACTGCTCTAGAGTCCAGTGGCGGCGTGCTTTACACCACCGCATCCGACGCTTTGCATTGCACTTGGTGATGTATGGCTTGGATGCAGCTGCTCGACCATGGAAACCCATTCCATGAAGCTCTCTGCGCACTGTTCTTGAGCTAATCTGAAGGCCACATGAAGTTTGGAGGTCTGTAGTGATTGACTCTGCAGAAAGTTGGCGACCTCTTCGCACTATGCGCGTCAGCATCCGCTGACCCCGCTCCGTCAGTTTACGTGGCCTACCACTTCGTGGCTGAGTTGCTGTCGTTCCCAAACACTTCCATTTTCTTATAATACAGCTGACAGTTGACTGTGGAATATTTAGGAGCGAGGAAATTTCACGACTGGATTTGTTGCACAGGTGGCATCCTATCACAGTTCCACGCTGGAATTCACTGAGCTCCTGAGAGCGACCCATTCTTTCACAAATGTTTGTAAAAACAGTCTGCATGCCTAGGTGCTTGAATTTATACACCTGTGGCCATGGAAGTGATTGGAACACCTGATTCCAATAATTTGGATGGGTGAGCAAATACTTTTGGCAATATAGTGTATATATATATATATACACTCACCTGCCACTTTATTAGGTACACCTGTCCAACTGCTCGTTAACACTTAATTTCTAAGCAGCCAATCACATGGCGGCAACTCAGTGCATTTAGGCATGTAGACATGGTCAAGACAATCTCCTGCAGTTCAAACCGAGCATAAGTATGGGGAAGAAAGGTGATTTGAGTGACTTTGAACGTGGCATGATTGTTGGTGCCAGAAGGGCTGGTCTGAGTATTTCAGAAACTGCTGATCTACTGGGATTTTCACGCACAACCATCTCTAGGGTTTACAGAGAATGGTCCGAAAAAGAAAAAACATCCAGTGAGCGGCAGTTCTGTGGGCGAAAATGCCTTGTTGATGCCAGAGGTCAGAGGAGAATGGCCAGACTGGTTCGAGCTGATAGAAGGGCAACAGTGACTCAAATAACCACCCGTTACAACCAAGGTGGGCAGAAGAGCATTCTGAACGCACAGTACGTCGAACTTTGAGGCAGATGGGCTACAGCAGCAGAAGACCACACCGGGTGCCACTCCTTTCAGCTAAGAACAGGAAACTGAGGCTACAATTTGCACAAGCTCATCGAAATTGGACAATAGAAGATTGGAAAAACGTTGCCTGGTCTGATGAGTCTCGATTTCTGCTGCGACATTCAGATGGTAGGGTCAGAATTTGGCGTCTACAACATGAAAGCATGGATCCATCCTGCCTTGTATCAACGGTTCAGGCTGGTGGTGGTGTTGTCATGGTGTGGGGAATATTTTCTTGGCACTCTTTGGGCCCCTTGGTACCAATTGAGCATCGTTGCAACGCCACAGCCTACCTGAGTATTGTTGCTGACCATGTCCATCCCTTTATGACCACAATGTACCCAACTTCTGATGGCTACTTTCAGCAGGATAATGCGCCATGTCATAAAGCTGGAATCTTCTCAGACTGGTTTCTTGAACATGACAATGAGTTCACTGTACTCAAATGGCCTCCACAGTCACCAGATCTCAATCCAATAGAGCATCTTTGGGATGTGGTGGAACGGGAGATTCGCATCATGGATGCGCAGCCGACAAATCTGCGGCAACTGTGTGATGCCATCATGTCAATATTGACCAAACTCCCTGAGGAATGCTTCCAGCACCTTGTTGAATCTATGCCACCAAGAATTGAGGCAGTTCTGAAGGCAAAAGGGGGTCCAACCCGTTACTAGCATGGTGTGCCTAATAAAGTGGCCGGTGAGTGTATATATATATATATATATATATATATATATATATATATATATATATATATATATATATATATATATATATATATATATATATTTATATATATATATATATTTATATATATATATCCAGATTTAAATTAATACATTTCCCAACAAATTAAAATAAAAATAAAAAATAAGAAAATTAATAACATATTCTAAAATAAATATTTGTTACAATTCTTTACTATTGCAGCTGTAAGACTTTGCCTTCCAATTCAATGGTTGTTGGTTCAAGTCCTGTCGCAGGTGTTGTGGAGACTGTTGGCCTATAATAATAATAATTATTATTATAATACATTTTATTCAAGGTCACTGTACAAAGGATAAAAACACAATGGCAGAAACAAAGTCAAAACAGAATAAAAACCATAAAAAAATATAAATTATATTAGGGATATTAATATTAAAAACAGTGGTCAATTTTAAACAGATGAGTTTTGAGTTAGGATTTAAAATGGAGAAGTGAGTCTGTGTGGTTAGAGTAGTGCGCTGCCCTCTGGGAAGGTTGCAAGTACCCGATTTGATCCACACAGCCTGCACTCTGGGTCCCTGAGCAAGACCCTTAATCCCACACTGCTCCTCAGGCGCCGCACAATGGCAGCCCACTGCTAACCAAGGGGATGGATTAAAGGCAGAGGTGAATTTCCCAATTGTGGAACAATAAAGGGAATTAAATTATATTTAAATATTTGTGAACTAACTAGGTGTATTTCTAGGGGTCATCTGTGTATATTGCTGTTATTTTAGGGTCACAGGTAAAATAATTTTGGGAACCTCTTTTCTAATAAACTTCAAGAGTAACAATTCACAAACATCTGATACACATCCAGGTGGAGTCACAATAAGGAAGTAAAAAATAATAAATATGTATGTATCTGCTTCCTGGTATGGAAGAGGGTTAGGAGCACTGAAAAATAAAAAAAAAGTTAAGTGATTTTTTTTAAATATCATTTCAGTTTAAAATGGGGAAAAAAGTCACAATTCTGACTTTAATCTCAGAATGGTGGATCTTAATGTAGATGGGCACCGTGAAGGCAGAGATGTGGAAGCCCTCAGCTTCACTGACAAAGTTGTGAGTTGTTTCGGGGGGCCAGTAACATATTGGTGCAAAGCAACGGAATTAGGCGGCTTTTTACGTGCCTGTGGGGTCCCCTGGGCATGTAAAGGAGGAGCTTAATGGAAGAGCAGAAGGTGATTAAAACAAGAGAGCAAGTCTCTAAAACGGATGGCTACGGCTTGATGCTAACTTTTTTGTTGGCTGTAAGACTTCAGTCAGAGTTCTGAGAAAAAAGTCAGAATTCTGAGGAAAAAATCAGAATTATTAGATTAAAATCAGAATTCTGAGGAAAAAAGTCTGAATTCTGAGATTAAAGACATCATTCTGTTGAAAAAAAGTCAGAATTCTGTAAAAAAAAAAAAAGTCTGAATTTTGAGATTAAAGACAGAATTCTTAGATTAAAGTCAGAATTCCGAGGGGAAAAATTCAGAATTCTGAGGAAAAAAGTCAGAATTCTGACATTAAAGTCAGAATTCTGAGGGGAAAAGTCAGCGTTCTGAGATTAAAGTCAGAATTCTGAGATTAAAGTCAGAATTCTGTGAAAAAAAGTCAGAATTCTGTGAAAAAATTTGGAATTCTGACATTAAAGTCAGAATTCTGAGATTAAAGTCAGAATTCTGTGAATAAAAGCCAGAATTCTGAGATTAAAGTCAGAATTATGAGGAAAAAAGTCAGAATTCTTTAAAAAAAAAAGTCAGAATTCTGAGATTAAAATCCGAATTCCGAGGAAACAATTCAGAATTATGAGAAAAACGTCAGATATCTGAGATTAAAGTCAGAATTCTGAGATTAAAATCCGAATTCCGAGGAAACAATTCAGAGTTATGAGAAAAACGTCAGATATCTGAGATTAAAGTCAGAATTCTGAGATTCTTTTCTCATATTATACTGAAATAACATGTAAAAACCAGTTAACATTCTTTATTTTTTCAGTGGCTCTAACCTTCGTGCTCAAAATAATTAAACTGAGGTTATTAAATAAAGAGGTTTAAAGTTAATATATACCTATTTATTTAGCCAGGTGTGTCGTGTTCGATTATTAATGCCTGCAGGTTAACACAGGTGAATCCATCGACAGAGGACGTTCTTGCATCGATTACACCGCACTCCACGTCAAAGTTTGTTTTAAAATGGCGGCGGAAGCGGAGAAACAGGTATGAGTTATTAAACCCCGCAGCTGAAAGGGTGACATGATGCCGTTTGTACATTTTATAAAGTAGTGGGAGCGGACTTTATCTCCTGTTTCGTCGCCGGAGGAGAAAGCGGAGAAGTTGTTGGCCTTTGTTTCCAGTAGAGGAAGCGCTGCGGAGGGGAACGTCAGCAGCAGCAGCAGCAGCAGCTCGGGGAGGAAGGAGGCGCCACCGGCTGTTCGCGCTGTTTTGACCCCCTGCAGGGACTTTATGCGGCAGCTCATGACTTTCCTCCGCTGCCGGCTGTGTGGGGGAGCCAGGGGGGCGGTGGCGGTGCAGCAGTAGCCCCAGCAGCAGCAGCATCCTCAGCATGGAGCTCTCCGGGCGGAGGGCACCTGTCATCCACCTGTAGCGTCCATCAGCGGCGCCATGGCAAACCCGAGCCTCGGTCCACAGAACCAGCTGGACGGCCGCTCTGGTAAGGCTGCTGACCTTAAAGTCCCGTCCACTTTATTTGGTTTTTATTATTTTATTTATAAAACCATAAAAACACGCTCACATGTCAGACTCTGCCGTGTGGGCTGCCCTCTCGCTGAACTCTTGATTTTCGCCAAACTACATGAAACGGAGGTGGAATTGAAACATATCTTTGATTTTATTAAAATAGATAAACTTTTTATTACTTAAAAAAACATATATTTGTGTATCTAGTACATAATGTATTAATTCGGCTTACATATTTGTAACCAAAACTGTACTTGCTAAGAAAAAAATAACTTTTAATTAAGTTTCACCATTTTTTAAAGTTAGAATTCAACTCACTTATGTTAAATGGAGAACAGTTTTATTATAAATGTAATGAAATAGAAAGGAACGAATTGATGTTGACGGTTTTAATGTTTTTAGAGCTGAAATGTACTTTTGGATTGAAACTTTCCACTTTTTTTTAACTCTGCTGTATTCCAGCTGTTGCTGCTGCTAATAGATGGATTCTGGTGAAATATTTTAACATTTCTTTTAATCTAAATTAACACTTGTTATAACTTAATTTCATATTGTCAAAATTGTAAGATGGCAGTAAAGTTTCCATTCATTTCTATCCATTCATAGGAGTAAACATATGACGTGTTATAGTCTCTCTGTCTAAGCAAAAGGTCACTTTTGTTTTGGTTTTCAACAAAAAAAAAAAAAAAAAGAAGCAAATTAGTTTTTCAGACAGAAGTACAGTCAACTGATTTTTAAGTATTAAATATGATATAATTAACAATATAATCCTGAAATCAATTAATTTATCAAAATATTAGTTATTAAAGGGGTCATAAAATGCAAAACCGAGTTTCCATCATCATAGATGTTAGTTCAGTGGTTGAAATGTACGTACAGAGAAGATCAAACCCCATCAACACCTCCTTTCTCTGCAAAATCTCACAACTCTAAACTTCCACCGTAAAACAGGTGAATCCAAATGAAGCACCAAATTGACTTCAACTCGGGGATGTTGCCTTAATTGGTTCTGGCCTGTACTTTTGTCACGGTAGATGTTAGACACTAGATTAGCTGTTTAGCTTACAGTTGGGTTTACTTCTACAAGAATTACAAAGTTTCTCTATTGAAAATGAGCCAGAACCACGGGCGTAAATGCAGTGTTCCAGGCTGCACGGAGGAAGTGTAACATTTTTACAGTCTTCCAAAGGATCCAGAGATTCAACAGGCATGGATTATTTTTGTCTATCAGAAGATCCCTGCAGAGTTTGATGCTTAGATGTTCATTTGCTCTAAGCAAAGCACAGCTTTTAAAATCTTGGACAGTTCAAAGCAGGATTTGCTAAACTTCTTTTACTGAAACGAGGGGCTGTTCCCACCGTAAGGCCATCACAACCCCAAGCTGGGAGTATGATTCAGTCGCTAAGCTGATGATAGCAATGCTAACATATCTATGGTGACCAGATATGCTTGTATCATCCCCCCCGCCTGCCTTACAGTGCCGCAGGAAGCACGGGGCCGTCAGGCAACCGTCACCGGGTTGTGTCGATCCGTCCGCCGCTGGCTCCCTGTTTCGACTACGTGCTATATATATATATATATATATATATATATATTAGGGATGGGACGATTTATGAAAACCGTCCGAACCGTTCGGTTCGACTTTCTCGGTTCGGTTCGCGTGTGTTGTGTTCGGTTCATGCGCTGCTCCTTTTTCTCATAGGGGAAGCGTTTACACTCCAGAGCAGAAGGTGGCGGTACTGCGACCAAAGCCAACCACCAGTCGTACATAAAAAGAAGAAGCAGCGAAGCAGCTTAGCCTGGTGTAGCAGAAAAAATTCAGTTGTTGTGGAGAATTGTGTGGGTATGGCGAGTGGGAAAGAACAGGAGTTGGAAATAGGGTGGCCAGATGTCCGGCTTTAGGGCGGAAAGTCCGGATTTTCATTGCACTGTCCGGCGTCCGGCGCCGCAACTAGCCGGACGTGTATTTGTCCTCCTTTAACCCCAGATTCCACATACTCCGTCAGCGCTCCGCTCTGCTTACGTACGTGGTGCGGAGTACTTGTCTGTCATGTAAATCAATGAGAGCTGTCCCACATCCTCCGCTACTTCTCTGTCCTCGTACGTCTTCTCCGTCTTTCACCGTCAAAATACAGAACTGAGCTATTTTTTGCTCCGGTCCGTCCAGATCAAGACTCGCAATCGCACCAAACAGGAAAAAGAATGTAGAGAAGACCCGGTTTGTCAAATTAAATTATAGTAAAAACAGACCGGTAACTAGAAATTAGAGCATAGTTCGTATATAATCCAAAAACTAAGAGCAATTAATTAAATTATTGGATGCAGACTATTGGTGCTTCAACAGACCAGGAAGAAGTTGTGAGATTCTAGAGCGAATCTCACAACTTTAAAAGAAAATTCTTATTGCAGGAATGGATGAGTTTGGAAGCAGAGAACAAACAGAGTTCATACAAACTATGTTTGATCCTAGTTATTCCTGTAAATATTTAGGCAGAAACTGAACATCTGCTGGATGATGATGGGGATTTTTTAAAAATATGTCATATTAAATTAAACGTTCACAGGGTTTATACATACGCATTGTACTTTACAAGACATAGTAGATTTTCCTAACAATCATCATATACCGAACCGAACCGAAAACCGTGACCACGAAACCGTGAACCAAACCGAATCGTGGATTTTGTGTTCAGTTTCTGCCCAAATATTTTCTTTCTGTTGTGGATTTTTGTAACAGGAATAACTAGGATCAAACATAGTTTGTATGAACTCTGTTTGTTCTCTGCTTCCAAACTCATCATCTCTTCATCCATTCCTGCAATAAGAATTTTCTTTTAAAGTTGTGAGATTCGCTCTAGAATCTCACAACTTTTTCCTGGTCTGTTGAAGCACCAATAGTCTGCATCCAATAATTTAATTAATTGCTCTTAGTTTTTGGATTATATACGAACTATGCTCTAATTTCTAGTTACCGGTCTGTTTTTACTATAATTAAATTTGAAAAACCGGGTCCTCTCTACATTCTTTTTCCTGTTTGGTGCGATTACAATTGCGGGTCTTGATCTGGACGGGCCGGAGCAAAAAATAGCTCAGTTCCGTATTTTGGATATATATATATATATATATATATATATATATTGCTCCAATGGCAGCCCGGGCTTCGCTGATATTGATATGAAAGTTAAAATGATCTGCCTTTTTATGTTTAGCTAAATGCAGAACTTGGATTATTGCTTAATATCATTTCCCTTTTCAAAATGCAACACCTGAGTAACTTTTCCCATATTTCAGCTTTTGTTCTGCTGCCAACATACAGATAAATGTCTTTGTTCTGGTCGATTATTATTAACTATCTGAGTCATTTGGGCATCTATTCAAACAGGCTGCTCTTCTGGTCTGGCTATAATAGCAGCTGTTATTTCTGAAACTTTCGTCCACATTTTTTGTTTGAAGTCCTGCCTCATTTATAGTTGATCTACAGCCCTAACAACCTTAGTGACCTCTGCTTGTAGATGTTAGCCACGGTGGCACAGGCTCAACCTGTTGAATAGTTTTGTGAAAAGGTCTGAAGCACTCGCATAGCAACCAGCAGATCAGGATTTAGAGCTGCTAGGAATCCGGCTCCGTGGCGCTACGGCTTGGAACATAGCGGAGGTTTTTAAGCCACAAAAAGAGGCAGACTGTCTAACAAATGAGTTTTATCTGTTCATTTTGCACCTTGTTCTTGCACAAGTGTTCCAGCCGGGTGTTAAAAAGCCTGATGGAGCCCCGGGGTTCCGTTCACATTACATTCCTGGATCCAGTTACAGCCCAGTTATTGCGGCGTTGAGTTTCCTCCTTTGTGTCGTCTGCCCTGGTAAAATGAAGCAGGTCTTAAATGACTTTGTTCTCTAGAGTTGTTTCCGTTCTCTTTGCAACGGGTTCAGCTGGATTTAGGTTTTTAGTGTTGTGATGTTTAACAGATGATTCATTCATAATACTGATTTAGTAGAGGTATAGATGAACTTAATCTAAAGTTGATAAATCTTATCAGTCAGCTTACAATTAATGCTAATTTTCTTAAAAACTTGAGTTTTCTATTATAACAAGACAATCCTCTCATAAAATAAAAAGATGTCTGTTTAAAAAAAAGAGGAATATACCGTAATTTTCGGACTATAAGCCGTGACTTTTTCCCAATTTTTCGACCATTTTTCTACCATGCGGCTTATATGACAATGCTAACGGCCACTAGGGTAATACGGTACCTAAATCTATGGATTTTACTATCCATCATGTTGACGTCACATTTGCTTCCAACAAACAAACGTTGAAATGCATATGATGCAGCTTTTAAGTTAAAGGCAGCCACTTCGGCAGTAAACGAAGGAAATAGAAGCGCTGCACGTAACCTTGGAATCAACGAGTCAATGGTGAGACGTTGGAAACGCCAGCAGGAAGAATTGTCTCAATTCAATTGTGTTGAAATGTTCATAAATAGGAGCTTCCCCAAACAGTTGCCTCTTTCCCGACAATCCTCTCTGTGCACAAACCATATGGTAATTAAACATAAAAAACCTGCGGCTTATAGACCGGTGCGGCTTGTATATGTACAAATCATGCAATTTAGCTTCTGCGGCTTATAGTCCGAAAATTACGGTAAGTGATTCACGCAAAATATTTGTCATTTTGGATGGTAGTTTGTTTTTGTTGATGTGTCCAAGCCACCCTTTCTGACCTTCAGGCAGGCTTTTAGCTTGCAATGTGTACGGGCATACATTGTACGGCCTTTACTAAAAAAAAAAAAAAAAGACAAATTTTACGCCCTGTTTTTCTTCTTGAAACTTCGCTGAAATGTTCAAAATTTTACAAGCAACAGATGCAGGAGTTGGAAAGATTGAACTTTTGCTGCTCGACGTGCCACATCAACCAATCAGAGAAGCTGATGTGGGAACGGCAGGGAGTCAGACACAGCACTGTTGATGCAGAGCGCTATGATCACTCCTCTGAATCAGTTTAATGCCTAAATTAACTTAAAATGAAACTTGCTGGCAAAATATGTTCACTTTATTATTCTGAAATCCAGTTGATTGCATCGATTCATTGACGCAAAGGCAATCCCTCACACAAAGCATGCTTGTAGCGACAGTGGAGAGGAAAAACTCCCTTTTAACAGGAAGAAACCTCCAGCAGAACCAGGCTCAGCGTGAGCGGCCATCTGCTGAGGCCGACTGGGGTTCAAACCTGTATCAATAGTCAATGAATTATTAAAATAATGGCAGATTAAAGCTGGTCGAGAGGAACAAACCTTTTCCCTGCAGTTGGTAAAAAAATAAAATAAATTAAAAACTTAGTTTTTTAAGGGATTAATGAGAATCTATTCAGAATAGCTTGGAGATTAAAAGCATTTGCAATATAATCACAATTTAGAAAAAAATGCGCAGAAGCTCTAGATTTTTGTCGCAATACATTTATCAAGACTACACTGAAAAAAATAAAGCAACCTTTTTTGGCATTTATTTAAGCATATTTAGTTACTTTAACACAATTTTCTCATTTTAGCAGGGCAGGACATAAAACGATTGTGTTGAAGTAACTAAATATGCTTAAATATGCGTAAATGTCAAAAGAGGTTGCAGTATTTTTATTTTTTTTAGTGTAAGACGCTAAATGTCTACCTCCAGCACTTTATGTGGCAGTAATTAAGGTAAGACTGGCGCCACACAGAACGGAGGAGAGAGTTGCAGCTAGCATTAGGGGTGTAAATCACATCCATCATGGGGATTCGATTCAGTATCGATTTCCTGGCCCAACGATTCGATTATTTTCTATACTCAAGAATACACCACAATTTAATTCATTTAATAGTTTTTTTTTTCTTACCTTACAGGCTAGACAATGTTTCAAATGTGAAATAAATCTATGAAAGCTGTAACATCTTTGTGCATTTTATTTGAGAAACAAACGCAAATAACAGATGTAGCAAAGTTGTACTACACCAAGGCCTATAAAAAACCTCATTCACTGAAAAATAATAATGCTTCTGTGTTTTAGATTCTGAAAAGGCCTTGTATCAAAAATACATTCTGCAAGTGGAAAGAGGGTAGTGGCTGAAGGAAGCAAGGTAGGAGTACGAAAAATGTTTAGCGCCACCGCAGTGCAGGAGTCAGAATGGATAAAATGGATAAAAATAGACCAGAGGAAAAAAAAAAAACATGAATCGATACTCTTGCAGACGTGTCGATGCATCGGATCGTCGGCTATTTGATCGATGCATCGGATCGTCGGCTGTTGGATCGATGCATCGGATCGTCGGCTGTTGGATCGATGCATCGGATCGTCGGCTGTTGGATCGATGCATTGGATCGTCGGCTGTTGGATCGATGCATCGGATCGTCGGCTGTTGGATCGATGCATCGGATCGTCGGCTGTTGGATCGATGCATCGGATCGTCGGCTGTTGGATCGATGCATCGGATCGTCGGCTGTTGGATCGATGCATTGGATCGTCGGCTGTTGGATCGATGCATCGGATCGTCGGCTGTTGGATCGATGCATCGGATCGTCGGCTGTTGGATCGATGCATCGGATCGTCGGCTGTTGGATCGATGCATCGGATCGTCGGCTGTTGGATCGATGCATCGGATCGTCGGCTGTTGGATCGATGCATTGGATCGTCGGCTGTTGGATCGATGCATTGGATCGTCGGCTGTTGGATCGATGCATCGGATCGTCGGCTGTTGGATCGATGCATCGGATCGTCGGCTGTTGGATCGATGCATTGGATCGTCGGCTGTTGGATCGATGCATTGGATCGTCGGCTGTTGGATCGATGCATTGGATCGTCGGCTGTTGGATCGATGCATCGATCCAAAAGGATGATTATTTACACCCCTAGCTAGCATGCAGATCCATGCAGGATAGTAGAAGCAAGAACTTTTTCTCTGAAGGTTACAGTAAAGTGCTGCATCAATGAATTCTGGAAAAGCAAGCTTTCTAGGTCAGACATAAACGGAAAAACCTTGATGAAAACATCGCAATAAAATCGCAATATTGGTTGAACATAATTGCAATTTCAATTTATGGCCAGATTAGAGATGTCCCGATCCAGGTTTTTGCACTTCCGATCCAATACCGATATTGTTATTGGACTTCCGATCCGATACCGATACTGGCCAATACCAGACTATCCGAGCATGTATTTAAGTTTAAGTTAAAGTATTTAGCCTTAGTTGTAAGACTCATGTTGAAAAGGGTTTTAGTACTCTTGATAACATCTAGCCAGCTGAATTAGGTGAGATTGAATATAACACAATGATTGGTAACAACAAACTTACCTGTTTATTAAGAGATAAACACAAACTGGACAAAATTATGAATAGCAATCTAATATTGCACAGTGAGCAGTAAAACCTTAAACAGTTAAAGGTGCAAGTATTACTGTAAGTTTTAATAAAAATGCAAAACAGACAAGAGTGGAAAATAGTCTATTAACTTAGAATCAGGACTCTACTCTTGAAAAAAAGACACAGCTTAAAAAAAAATCAGTGCAAATAATAGTTACACAAAAATGCCTTATACTCCCCAATGTCCTCCACACCTAGTCTCCATCTACACATCGTGCAGGATAAAATAATCCCACACGGCTGACATTTTCCCCGCTATCTTCCAATTCACCTGTTTTAATGGTTAGGCCGGGAGACAGACCCAAAAGGACCCATGGGTGTGTTGAAGGTGTTCTGGAAAATACGGACCGGATTCGGGGGACAGTTATTACTGTAAGTTTTAATAAAAATGCAAAACAGGGAAACACTGGCGCAAAATAGTGGAATGGATTGTTTCAATCGTCGAAACTGGAAAATACGGACCGGATAAAAAAAAAAAAACTGGATCGGCATTTTTACATGCTTTGCCGATATGCATTTTTTTGCCAATATCGGCATCCGATACGTGGATCGGATCGGGACAAGCCTAGGCCAGATTGTTTAGCCCTAATTCGCAATTTTGAAAAACCTTCTTAAACAGCCATATTGCTGTAATTTAGAAATATGTATGTATTAGTAGGGATGCACGATATAATCGGCCCCCTATCGGTATCGGCCTTAAAACTGAATATCGGACATCGGCCACCCCACCGATATTTAACCCGATATTTGATCAGCTTCTGAGTTTCTAAAGTCTAAAAAAAATAAAAAATAAATAAATAAATAAAAAATAAAAAATACTACTTCTTCTTCTTCCTCAAAAACTTCTTTTTTACAGACTTAAAAACTTCTAAAGACGAGGGAAAAAATATTGATCCATTAAAATATCCCAATATCTTCATATGCTGATATATTGCCATTTAAAAACACCATATCAATCTCTTTTACTAATGAAATATTGGTATATGTTATCGTTATGCTACGAAATCCCCCGAAAATTCAAGAAATTTATATTGACGCAGTATCGATCTATTTTACTAACAAAATCCCACAAGAATTTGCCAAATATCACGAGAGTTTGTAACAGAATGAAGAAATTTCGCGAGATTTTGAAAGTAAAATAGATCGATACCACGTTTTTAAAAATCTATTTGATATCAGCATATGAAAATATATTTGAGTATATTATTTTTCAAAGTATCAGAAATGGATAATAAAACTGCTATTTTCAATGACTACTTATTTTTGTCCAGCTTTAACATCGGTATCGATATCGGTTATCGGCTACATGAGTTTTAAAATATCGGCATATCGGCCAAAATCCCAATATCGTGCATCCCTATGTATTAGGGCTGAAACAATTAACTGATTATTGAAATAATTGTCTGCTATTTTAGTAATTGATTAACGATTAACTGGAATATAGAGATTTTAAAACATGCTTTTACCTGAAAGAGCGACCCACTTAGAGCAATAATTATACCAAGATTGTTAAAAAAATATATAAGATTTTGCATTTAAGATAAAAAAAAAAAAGTTTTTCTCCATCAATATGCTCTAAAGTTTTAGCTTCCCTGGTTTAATTTAATAAAATATCTGCCTGTAGAATCAATGTAAAACAGAAATTCTTGCTGCTTGAGTGACGATTGTTTCTTCTTCAGCCACATTGAGGCTTTTACTTTGATTATTTTGATGCTCGGAGTAAATAAAAAAATATTGCTTCATAATGATTTAAAGAAAATTTTTTTTGTGTTAACTGGGATAAATGTTTCCTGCCAAGTCAACAACCAAGGAGCCTGATTGGCTTAAAGGAGCTGCTCTTTATGGGCATCAGGGATTTTTGTTTAACAACTTGGTTAAAATTTTAGTTTTTTTGTAATTAAAGGTCATTTATTGCACAATAGTGATTGTTTTCAGGTGTTTTATAAGCTTTAAAATGATGTAAACCTGTTTTCTGTGGTCTATTTAGGGGCATCTGGGGGAGTCGTCATGAAGAACGGCTCTGTGAGCACAGAGGCCCCCAGCCTGCAGGATAAACCCGCCTCCACCTCGTCCGCTCAGCTCGTCCTGCCCACTTATAAACCGTCCTGCTCCTCCATTCCCATCTACTACTGCAGCCCCCGCAAAAACTGCTCCTACCTGGACCCAGACAGTCACAGCTTAACCTCTCAGGACTCAGGAATCCCAACTCTGGAGATCAATCCTCCGGACCCCCTCCTCCACAGCCCCCATCATCATCATCCTCCTTCAGATGACGCCGGCGGGGACTCTCCAGCCACTTTACCTCTGGACGACGGCAGCAGCAGCAGCATGCACAGGTCGTCCACCTTCCCCCGCAGCGGCTACGACTCCGCCCGGCACTTCAGCCCCACCGTCAGACTTGGCGTCGGGGGCGGCGCCCTGAACCGCAGCGACGACATCTCTGTGTGCAGCGTGTCCAGCATGAGCACAGAGCTGTCCGTCTCCAACGAGGACATCCTGGACTTTACCGTCACGTCCAACTCGAGCGCCATCGTAACCCTGGAAACCGATCTCAGCGGCTCGGCTCACTTCTCGGACGTGACGCTTTCTTCGCCGACGGGGGAAACGTGGAGTCCTGGTCGGGGTCATCTGGGGTCGGGCGTCCTGCAGCAGGAAGACGGGAAGCTGAAGAAGCTGGGGCCGTTTGCAAATCTGTTCAACAGGTAAAGCAGTCTCTCACTCTGGATCCACTTCACCGTTACGTTTACATTTAACATCAATAAATTCATCCAAAGAGCCGTTTTCCCCCAAGTCAGGCTGATTAAACGTTGTTTAGAGCCGCAAATATTGAACCATGGTTGACTGAATATGACCTTATAAATAAAAGAAAACCTATACAGGGTTTCCGCGGGTCATTAGAAATCATTAAATAATTATTTTTTAAATTAAGGCCTGATTTGGCATTAAAATTCATTAAATGTGATGATTTGGGCATTTGAAATGCTTTATTTATATAAAAAAAACTTTATAAAAACAATTTAATAAACAATATATATATATATATATATATTTGCAAATATATCGCGGGATCTGCTCCCGGTTGATCGTAAAGCCGTATGTTCGGAAAAGAAGCTCGCTGCGGAGAAAAGGGGGAATGGGGGAAATGCTCATTTCAACAAAAGTGGCTGGAAATGGAGGAACTGCAGCCATCCGATCGAAAAGATGAAGGAATTTGCCGCGTATATCTGAACGTCATGGGTATTTGTTGATGGTATTAAAATTATTTCTAAGAGCATTAAAAGAGCATTAAAAAATCATTAAATTAGAGTTAATCATTCCTGTTTTAAACCCTGCTATATTTGTTACATATTTGTTATAGAAAATCTATTTTAAACACAAACAGTTTAATTCCAAAAAAGTTAAAAAAACAATCCAATGGACTTTGTTTCCAAGTTTGAAGACATTTTGCTTCCCATCCAGGAAGCTTTTTCAAAATGTCAGAAATAGCGATGAGTTCCTATGGAAGAAAAACTCTCTCATCGGAATCTGCCTTTTTTTTTTAACACCGAATTTTAAACACTGAATTTTTTTAACAACAAATTTTAAACACTGAATTTTTGTAGACATTGAATTCCTTATACTCAATTTTTATCTGGTACAAAATCAGCTGGTAAAAATTCGGCTGCAAAAGTGTTGACGTTTTGGTGAACTCAAGCCAAAGCAATCTACACTCGATAGAGTCGATCAGCTTCTAGCCAATGAAATTAGCTCATTTGGTCATGTGACACAACGGCTTTGCTCAGCGCTGTTCCCAGCTGAATGAGGTTTTTTTTTTTTTTGTTAAAGAGATAGAATTACAAAACGTCAGTTAGCTACTAACAGACAACTATTAGAGTTTTTCCTCTTATCAGACTGGGTGAAAAAACTGAGCCGATCACAGCTTTCACCAAAAAGTCAACACTTTTGCAGCTTTTGAATCTGAATTTTTTGCAGCTAAATTTTTTTTGCGGCTGAATTTTTTTTTGCGGCTGAAATTTTTTTCCGGCTGAAATCTTTTGCAGCTGAATTTTTACAGACAAAAATTGAGAGTAAGGAATTCAATGTTAAAATTTGTTGTTAAAAAATTCAGTGTTAAAAAAAAAAAAAAAAAAAAAAGTCAGATTCTAATGAGACTTGTTTTTCTTCCATAAGTTCCAGGCTTTATACAGTAGCCCAACAAAAGCTTGTTTTTGTTTAGAAAACATGCAAATTGAACGAATGAACGGGTCCAACCTTTAGCAATCAGGGTGGTTTGGCTTCTTTTGTTAACCTGCAATGCCCCGTACCTGTCTATGTCTCTGAAAAGCTTAACGACCCCCATTTCTAAGGGGCGGACCTGTTTATTTGTTCAATTTGCATGTTTTCTAAACAAGAACAAGCCTTTGTTTTGGTCCACTCTACAAAGCCTCGAACTCAACGCTATTTCTGACATTTTGAATTGAAAAGCTTCCTGGATGGGACGCAAAACATCGTCAAGCTTGGAAACAAAGTCCAGTGGATTGTTTTTGAACTTTTTTCAGATGAGGAAAAACCATAAAATGTTTCTAAAGGATGAAGCACAGATTTCCCCTCATAGAATACTGGATGCTAAAAAAAAATAATGAAAATAATCTCCAAGCTATCTAGAAGAAAATTTGATCTAAAAACAAATTATTAGTGTCTTCATTCTGTTGTGAAAATTCAAATCAAATGTTTTTTTAAAACCTAATAAAGCGTCTAAGCCTCGTTTGCGTTTTTCTACCACTACTTAAGCCCAGTTTAGAGGTTCTAAAGAGCCGCAGGTTGCAGAACCCTGGATTAGAGACTGAGGTGAAAGTTCACCTTCCAGAGAGCAGAGCTTCCTGTCTCCATCTACTGTCCAGGAAGATGCATCCTGAATCAATTCCCTCCATCAACATCAGACATGACATGTTATTAATTGTTGCTTAAAAAATAAGCTGAATTAAACTGAAATGTATAGGAACACATTAAAAGTATAGGATGCAATCTTTTATTTCTGGGTGGATCATCTAAATACGTTGTCCTCCTTATTGTCAATCATTCCGTTAAAATGTTTACGTAAGGCCGTCCTACGTGCTCGTCCCTTTTAGTCGTATATCTGTGGTGAGCTACGGTTTCAGTCATTGAGGCTCACCTTTCTCACTGCTGTTCTTTGAAAATGGCCGAGGGTTGTAAGAGAAAAAGTGTCTACGAAGTGTATGAGAAGAAAAGAAAGGCCTCAGAAGAGGCAGATATATTCCAAAATGCTTTGCGCAGAGAACTCTCCACGGAAAGCATTCTGGGATTTGCTAGGCTGTCGCTACCCGACAGCTGTGACCTGTAACAAGGATGGCGTAGGCACCTCGTGGAGGAGGAGGAGTTACGTGACCAACAGAGCAATAAGCAGTGATCATCTGTCCGAACGGTCAGTTAACTTATGTCACTATAAAGTCCACTATATAGTCCCCACCCTATATAGTGATTGAGGGATTCAGGGCTTAGAGCGGACGTTCAGGCACAGGGTTGTGCATGTAAATTTTTTTTTAAAGGGGAGAGGGCGGGTGTTTTCAAAAATTTGTGAAAATCCTCCACTATACCGTTTTAAGGGGACACCATGTGTAAATGTTCAGTGTGTCGAATATTTTTGCTGTCTACACAGTCGGACTCCTAAATTCCTTGTTGGTGAAGATTTCTTCAGCTTCTGATATTTGGCTCCATCCGCTGTCATACGGCCAGCGTTTTGGACAGCAGTCCGTCCCGTCTACCAAGGGTAACATTCTAGATGTTGCAGACTCTCTAACCTTTAAGGTTTATTAAACTTAGCAATAAACTCACTAAGAGTGAAAAGATGGAGAGATGCCATCACCTTAGAGAGGCAATAACATGCTGTGCTGGAAAGATCCTGTGGAAGGAGACGTTGCTGTAGAAACGGGGCTCAGTAGAGACGGACCTTGACCTGTCAAACCGCTCTGTCACTGCTAACCTCTTTCCCAACCCATCGCTACCTTCATAGTGAATCATTCAGAGGAACTCCTGCAGGTTCTGTTCAATTAGAACCATTTAGAAGATGCAAACACTGATGCGATTAGCAGGGCCTTAAAAAAATACTGAGGTTGAGAATTACTTCTGTGTGTTCTGCCCGGCGTGCTCCCCAGAAAATGTTTTTTATTCCATAATTTAAATCTGGCCATTTTAAGAGTTTTAAGGAGCAAAAGCAACGTCATTGTGACTTTGAATATTTCTCTTTCCCTTCCAGACATTTCAAGCATATAAACCTGTAAACTTGATTTTTATGTCATCTTTGTTTTTAAGCTGTTATCTACAACTGACTAGAAATATGTCACAAAAGGCATTCCAGTGTAATAAGTTGCTTTACCGTAAATCCTCTAATATTGGCCTGTATTCTAACAATAGCCGGTATAAATGACGGCCGGACTCGCATACAGGCTATAGTTAGAACCAACGCTGTTCCTGGGCAGTCATCAACAACTTGTAATCTTTTTTATTGTCAGAATTCAGTCAGAATTCTGAGAAAAAAGTCAGAATTTTGAGATTACAGTCAGAATTCTGAGATAAAAAGTCGGAATTCTGAGATAAAAAGTCTGAATTCTGAGATAAAAAGTCGGAATTCTGAGATGAAAAGTCGGAATTCTGAGATGACAAGTCGGAATTCTGAGATGAAAAGTCGGAATTCTGAGATGAAAAAGATCGGAATTCTGAGATGAAAAAGATCGGAATTCTGAGATGAAAAAGATCGGAATTCTGAGATGAAAAAGATCAGAATTCTGAGATGAAAAAGATCGGAATTCTGAGATGAAAAAGATCGGAATTCTGAGATGAAAAAGATCGGAATTCTGAGATGAAAAGATCGGAATTCTGAGATGAAAAGTCGGAATTCTGAGATGAAAAGTCGGAATTCTGAGATGAAAAGTCGGAATTCTGAGATGAAAAGTCGGAAATTCTGAGATGAAAAGTCGGAATTCTGAGATGAAAAGTCGGAATTCTGAGATTAAAAAGATCAGAATTCTGAGACGAAGAGTCGGAATTCTGAGACGAAGAGTCGGAATTCTGAGATGAAAAGTCGGAATTCTGAGATGAAAAGTCGGAATTCTGAGATGAAAAGTCGGAATTCTGAGATGAAAAGTCGGAATTCTGAGATGAAAAGTCGGAATTCTGAGATGAAAAAGATCAGAATTCTGAGATTAAAAGTCGGAATTCTGAGATGAAAAGTCGGTATTCTGAGATGAAAAAGATCAGAATTCTGAGATTAAAGTCAGAATGCTAAACTGAAATAAAATTAAAAAATCGGTTAACTTTTTTTTTTCAGTGGCCCTAATCCTCTTCCATTGTCTGAATAGTTTGTTGGGCTGAAATATTTTTTTCTCACCATCATCAACTTAAACTGATCTCCGCCTGCATTAGTAGCTCGATGTGCTGCTCTTCCAGGCACTGCCAGGACTGACGGACTCACTGATGGCATCTGTAGACTATGTGGCCGTTACCATAGTGAGGTTTTCTGTTGATGTAACTTATTTCAGTTGGATGCAGTGTGATTTCTTCAGCAGTTTCAACAGATTACTTCATGTTCTGAGCCTTGTTGTTTTAAAGCTCGTCTTGCAGCAGGTTTTAATGCAGTTTTGTTTTTCAGTTCCCCTCACTGCTTTTACCTCATTCCTTTTTCCACTGGGCCCCTGAACGTCCCTTT